TTCTTGCAAGTAAAAATTTTACTAGCAGGAATTTGCAGGAGTCCAAAAGTAAGGTTATGTTTCAAACTCAAATGTAAACAAACTGTTTACGAGGATGATTTGATGAAACATAATTAGTGAAATGAAAATATGGATACAAAATTTAAATCTATTGTATATATTTTTACTTTTATGACTTATGAACTATTCCCAATTAAAAAGAAAATTGCGCGCCAAAACTTAACCGTCAGAAAGTTTCAAAATGGCTTAAGTTGCAAGTTTTTACTAGTTTTGCGTTCAATAACTTTTTCTAAATATTTTATCTTGCTCTCAATTCCACTCTCTATTTTTCTTTTACGCTCTCGCTGCAAGTACTTACTGGAAAAGTTATTAAATGGACCTAATATTTCAGTCTTTTTTGCGTTCAGTACATTTTCAATGAAGTCATTAAAAAGTCGCCTACATTTTTCTGACGTTTTACGCTGCACAGCTTTTTTGAGGCTTTTGCGAGCGTGCCTGCAGCAATAGATCGGCTCTACCTGATTTGGCTTTTAACGTGCAATTGCATAATTACAGCAAGCCTCGTAACCTCAAGTGTTTACACAACCAGCCTTTGAACAAGGGATCCTTAGTCCTAGAATCCAAAAAAACCTTTGGAGGAAGCAGCTGCAGCAAAACACAAAGATTGTAAAGATTTATTAAAAAAAAAATAATTCAAAATCAGTTCTACTTATAAGATTTATAACAAAGAAATTTTACTGGGAACTTAAAAAACGTCATTTTTTACACAAAAAACGTCCAAACGTCAACAGGGTACAAAAAACGTCCAAATGACGTTAAAAAGGTTAACCTGGCAACGCTGGTTGTATCTTTCAAGCATTTGTGCAAAGAAGTAATGTCGCAAAACTCATAAGCTTCAATGGACAATATCTCAGGTTTAAATGAAAATATCTCGTTGAGTTAAACAGCATTATCAAGGGGAAATATATTACTTTCGAATGATTTATTAAATTTTCTAGAAAAAAAACGAAATATTCTTGATGAAATTACATGACGAATATCGAGGTAGCCTGTAATGGTTGATTCCAGTATAAAAAGCTAGCGGCATTCTCCAAATTGAATCTTAAAAAATAGTAACCAAATATTATTATATATTATTATATGATTAACTTGTGATTTAATAAAATAAATTTAACTTAATACGGAATATACAATGAGTACCGATACAAGTAGGTATCGATACTTTAGGTCCGATATTTTTCGGGCATCGATACTTTTTTTTCTATACTACTTCCAAGTAAAAGAATCGTTTTATCCCTAATCATACAATTTGATGAAGCATTTTGGGTGATATGGCGCTTTATTGACCGGATATAGTGCTTTCAGATTTTTAAAACCCATTTTTTTTTTTTAATAAATAACTAAATTTTAACAACGTGACTATTTTTCGCATGTACGTGAGCTACTCCCCTTCAAAATCAGATATCATTAATTTAATTTGATAAAATATTAAAGGAGATATCGTTTGGTAACATAGACACAGCGAAGTGTATTTTGCAAATCATCAAACCAAATTTGTTTGCCCTAAGGCATGATGATAATGATGTTAGATAAGGGTTTAGGGAATTCTCAAAGAGAATATAATACAAGAAAATTACCCTAGAGGCTATAAATAATGTTAGTTAAAATAAACTTTAACAATGGTCTGCGCCGAGGAGTATCAGTTGCCCTATCGCGTCGAAGAACGATTGGATATCGGACAATCCAGATCCCGCTTAGTGACTAAGGGGCTTGTTTGCCACAATATACAGTAAACAATCATATAAAGTAATGAGCCACAAACAACCAACCACAAAAACACTATGAGCGCAGCAGAAGCTTGATTGCCTTTCCGAAGCATCTAAAAGCCGAGGGGCTTCTAGAAATCCGAGTTCATCCTGCATTGTCGTAAACAAATATAATTTACCATAATAACCTCATTTGGGCTCCCAGTCATAGAGAAATATAGGGTAACTGTATGGCGGACGAACTTGCGAGGGGGGTACGACTAAGGGGGGTATGCCTTTCGTCTCTTGCAAGCTGCTTTTAAGAGAATTTATCTTGGCCTAGGTGGGATCGAAAATGGTATAGATGCTTATATTCTTTAAAAAGGGACGATATATCTCAAACAATTGGTGCTCCAATAGGCCATTGCCTTATAAGTAAACACGATCGGAGTGCCTTACCAACGATGTTTCAGAAGTTGCAAGAACTACGAGGCGGATGAGACAGTTCTCCACTTTATTTGTAACTGCCCACCATTATCGAGAAGCAGATTGCGCTTTCTGTGGTATCCTATCTTTAGTGACCTTGACAAATTGGGAGATTTAAATCCGTGGTGCCTGGCGATTTTCGTCAAGGATTCAACATGGCAACTCCCCCTCTCTTACTAGTGGCCACCTGTTTTGAAACTTAATTAAAATAGAATTATATTATAAGCTAATTGAGTTACTTCTTTATAGGTTTTAATTGAAACTTTCAGGAATTGGGCGTGGCATTGCCTGAAAGTGTATCTCGGTAACTGCTTTATCGATTTCTACCAAATTTGGTTTAATTATTTCGTAAATTCTAATTCAGAATATTATCGAAAACGTTTGAAATCGTTTCAAAATTATGAAATTTCAACAAACTTTAACATGTGCACCCGAAAATTGTAAACCTTTTACTCAGAAATTTCGGGTGTGCAGTTTTGTAGCTTATTCACCTTTTAGTAGGTAAAAGTGCATATTTCAAAATGCTAGTAAACCGCGGTGATTTTTAATAATTTTTTGTTGCTTGTAGGCATTTTCTCCCGAAATTGTCAAGTATATTTTATATGGTCCCTAATCTCAATCTTAGACTAAGTCTTTATTTTTATATTTGTCTTTGTACTTTTGCCTTTCACCGCCGCCTAGCTTTACCTTCATTTCTGGGTTTTCCGTTCGTCGTTGAAATCAAATAATATTTAGAGGTCGCTCAAAGCGCTTTTCGTAGAAATGGTACAGAATTCTTAAAAATGAATAATTTTCGATCGGAAACGTTTCTCTGCAGGAGATTCCCAATAATAATACCCACTTATTTATTTAACCACCTTTTCATAGTAGCTATAATTTATAGGTCCGCGGAAACAATAAAAAATCGTTAGTATTAATACATTTATTAGGAATGAATATAGAATCCCGGGGTCCCGGACTTGTAAAGGTCTCGAAAACCCCGGTATTCTTGCCAAGTAATCCCGGGATTTTCTGGATTTGTAATTTGCACTGATGGCAATAATAAAATCTCCTTTTCTTGACCAGTATTGGTTATACTTCTTTTTTATTTATTAATTAATATTTCTTTATAAATGTCTAGTTCATTATTCATATAACACCGCGCGATAGTAAATTTTAAACACAAATATCAATATATTCGCGAAGCCCTGGGCCAAATATAGTATAATTGCGTTTTTAGTTTTTCACTCTGACGTCAGTAATTCAAAAATGATTTAAAAAATTCAGAGAAATGTGCTTAGAGAAGAAGTATGGGTATAAAATTAATGAGGAAATCCTGTAGAAATTAAACAGATTCAAGTTTCTGGTGAAGAGGGGCTGGTAAATATTGAAAATGTCATTTTAAAATTTTATCCTTGAAGTTTCGCAATATTTGTTTTTGAAAAAATTATATGTTATGGGCTTATATAAACTCAATAACATCCTCGAATTTCGTTCTTCTAACTTTGTCAGCTTAAAAATTACCTATTCGTCCTTGTGAATCCAAAAAATTTTAATTTTGTTTAATTTTAAAGAAATTTCCTATTGCATTTGTTACCCATATTTTTATTCTACATTGCGTTGAATTTTTTTTAACAATTTTTGGAATTAATCATATCTTTGAAATTACAAAGTCCTTCAAAATAAATTCTGCGGTCAGAGTGAAAAAATAAAAACGCCACTTTAAATAAGAAAGTAAGTGTCAAACCCATTTATTTATTATTTATTTTATGGTAGGAGAGATTCTCAAACAACATAGAAGCAATTTTTTTCGATTCAAGTTGTTAAAAAGCAATGAATATCTAACTCCTGGGACTAATCCCGGGATACCGGGATTGTGACAACGCCATTCCGATAATCCCGAGATCGGAAAAAGCTCAAAAATTAACATCCCTAATATATATATACATACATAAATAGGAACATACCTACATATACTAATGTATGCACATATATATGGACGAACAAAAGTACTACATGGCATTATGTGATTTGTACGAGAAATGAAAACAAAACTTGTTTATATTTATGAGCTACATATGTACATATTTGCCGGCGCTTGTCTTATCAAGCATTTCTCCCCACCTGCGACGCCCAGTGTGAGCGGTGTCCCATTGATTACGCAAATACACAAATGTTTATTTTTGTATGCACTTTTTGATGTACTTTAGACATACATAGGCACAGAGGCGTTTCATGCGATTGGCGGGCCTGGCGGATATCATACGCCCTGTTATTATTTTCATAAGTTACAAAGTTATTACTTCGACCTATGCATAAAAATGATACGATCAATCACTTATTCTCAATAGTGCCCCATGGAAAAGAAAAACCAATCTTTTTTTTTTGGAAACCATTTTTTTTGGTTGGATCGCCGACATAAAAATATTTCACAGCTGATCTCAATCAACATGATTCAATAGCAAAAAGGGTTAATAAATATTGACTGTCGTTTACAAAAAGTTGCATTGGAAAAGATATGATAACCGAAATAAAGTCAGCTATTCCCTATGTTTACTAAAGCTCAAAGACGTTTACAAGGTTGACATTGATCATTTGATAAATTTGAGCAATTTCTATTTGCAAATTCGGGCCTCATTATTGCTTTCGGCAGAGGCACGGGCTTTCTTGATGTGAGTACAAGTATATGCATACATTTACTTTGCTTGAGAACTTATTATCAAACAATTAATGTCTTATATGTATGTACCTACTATATGTAGCTAACAGTGCGGCAAAGTCGAGCAGCTCTTGCACTTATACTCGCAAATATACTTTTACCTTCGTGTTGATTAGTGACAGAGGGGTTTGGACCATTTATGCATATGTAAGTAGTATATAGGAATGCAAATGTTCATGAGTATTTATACATATGTATGTAACGTACCTGCCAGGCATCTCAATCTTCCAATGCGCCACACTGTGACTTAATTTGAAAAATATGTATTCCTAAGGTTAGTCGGAAAACAAACGCAGAAGTGTTTAGTATCATAATCGGGACGTGTCTACATTGTAAAAATGGAATATTTAAGCACTGAATGTGCTGCACGGTCCGCAGGACCTGCAAACACTCTAATGACTTTGCTGCTACAAACATTAATATCGCGATATTGTGGATTAAGCGATCATGATCGTTGGCCGCAGGATTATGGCGCACGCATTGAAACAGATGGTGAGTAAGGTAGTGGTGTTTGGAGGGAAATTCAAATAAAAAATAAACAAGTGAGTGTAAAGAAAATTGGTGTCTGAATTGGTGTCTGCACGAATGAATAAAATATTTTTTACCATTCATGAACTGAACTTTTTCGCGTGGAGAATTCAGAGAAAATTCTTAAAGCTGAATAGAGCGCTGAAAGAAAGAAAAGCTAGCCAAAGAAAATCGTGCGGAGAACTCTCTGATTTGACTTGTCAAAGAAGTGTGACGCAGTCAACCAATTAGTCGACTAATAAAGTCATCAATTAGTAAATTCACGAAACTAAAATTATAAAAAAAAACGAGAATTCAATAAAATGCTTTCGTCTTTTCGCTTATTTTGATTTGCATATTCTGAAACTGACACAGCCACGAACATGGTCTCATCGATTTCTTACACCGATTTCACATTATGGGCGATTGATGGTAAATGACCATTTCTCGTTTCCTTACTGCAAACTACTGAATCCCCTGAGACCATATTCCTGACAAGCACCAAGGCTGTCGGACGGTCATTTAACACAAAGCTCGGGGACACAGTTATACCCAGCGTGAATAGTACAAAAAACTAAGGGCGACACTCTAGATAGCCGTGCCTTATTTGTTACACAGCACTTGAGGCAAATAAAACAAAACTCTTTTGCCAATAAACGAGGCGAATAGCTGATGGATTTTCAATTAAGCAGCGCCAACATGGGCTTCTATAAGGAATACAACGGCGAAAGTCCAATCTCCCCAATGAAATGAAAAAAGTTGTAACATGTTGCTATCACAGGGATCATTCGGTGGTCTATTAATCGACGTAGACCCTACACGAGACAACCCTCGAATGCAGCTGGCTGCTGACCGCCACGGAGCGTCATTCTAGAGGATACGTCATCAATTTCATTATGTTTTGCCCTCTCAATCACCACCACGGAGAGCTAAATCTGCCCAGAGCGCAAAATAAACCTGTTAAAAACAAAAATTGATTTGGGTGTTGTTACGGGCCGGCAAGAAAAGAAATATGTACACTAGGGCGGGTTAATTATTTTTACTATGCCAAACTGAGAAAATAGGTTTCAAAGAAAATGTGAAAAGTTTCACAGTTGCGCCCTCTGGACGAAGTTTTAAGAAAAAGAGAACTGCCGAAATGGATTCCTCATAACAAAAAACCCCTTATAGCATGGTTTTATGCAAAATTTAAGCACTTCTTAACGACAACACAGCAAAATGCTAAGAAACCTATTATCGCAATTTGGCAAACTCCAAATTGATTTAAGACTTATGGTTTTCCCGGAAAATTTTCTTAGAATTATACGTAGAATCCTTCTATACGCTATACGCGCATAGTCGCAAATATCTCCCGTACAAATTGAGCCGCCCTAATATACATTGTTGAAACATCTCCTCTGTAAGTGTTCAAAATTTATTGGACTACTTAGTTACGAGTTTTTTTGGTGGTGCGATCTAATGTACATACATACATACATATATTCAAACTCACATCCATTAGATGCATATATTTTAATTAGTATTAACCAAGTAAAGCTTTCTTTAATTAATACATTCTAGAACAACATGTTAAACAACAAGTACGTGCGAGTAATCGCTGCTGCTGATAGTAGAAAAAGTATACAAACAATAAATTTAAATAACTGTATTACGTCTCTAGGTCGAAAAACAGTTAAAGGCCCATTATTTTGCAAATGCTGACATTAAAAAATACCCGTACCCGTACGTTCATAAAAATGTTTATTATGTTTGTTTTCACATGGCATTTTTTCAATGGTACACACTTCTTGTCATTTAAATGCTAAGTGGAAATTCGGCATAATGAATTTTTTTTCAAATTCATACACTGAGACAAAAGTGTAGTTACGACCATGATAAAAACATAGCAAGGTATAACCGTTCTCTCAATTTGTCGG